TACACGAGGGCGTGTGCATGTCTGCATGAGCGTATGTACGCTAGTATACGTGGGTATACGCAGTAATACATATGCGTGGGGTATACGCCTCTATATATAAGCGTGTATATTTGTAAATATTTTTCTAGTTCTCCATAAGTCGTATTATTTCTTATTTTCTTTGTTTTTTGCTTTTATATTTTAATGTCTAACCCACAACTTTGTTGTCGAGATTTCATTTGATTTAATGATATGTATGAATACTAGTGGCTATACATAATGTATGCACTGTGTATACCTGCAAACTGATTGATATCTATTGTATAACCTCCATTATCTAATATACTTAATGTCTGTATATTATGTGTGTGTGTGTATGTAAGTAAAGGTATTATTATATATAATTATTATTTTAAGAAGTGAGCACCTAAAGGGTGATTAGACTTCAATGGTCAGGTTGGGCTGTAAACTTGCTTAGTTAACACATTACTCAGGGTCAGATCGCTTAGTAATTCGTGGTCTCCAGCCACTTGGACTGGTAAGTAAAGCACCGGCCTCGCTTCTTGCTGGTCCGAGTGTGATCCCCCGATGGTCCAAATTGTTGGAACTGTTCCCCCTCCCCCCCTATCCCAACTCCTATCCAGTGCAGGCGATGAGTCACAATAACGTGGCTAAAGTATGTTGACCAGACCACACACTAGACGGTGAAGGGACGACCACGTTTCGGTCCGTCCTGGACCATTCTCAAGTCGATTGTGATCCTATCCAGTTCTATCCCTTCTATGAACATTGTAAGTCAAACTGGGTTAGCGCTATCTCCTTTATTTTCTTAATAAATAAATAAATAAATAAATGTTTATTTAGGTAAGGTACATACAAGAGATTTTACAAAGTTTGTTGGATTAATAGATAGAGCTAGTACATACAATGCCTAAAGCCACTATTACGCAAAGCGTTTCGGGCAGGAAAAACATTAATTAACTTCGTTAATTTGTACACGTCGAATGTAGCTATTTGTATCAAACTGTCTTTCTTCCACAGACGCTGATCGGTGAGTGCTGGGACTCTGAAACCGCCCAGAGGCCAGTGTTTCCGGACATTCTCAAAACCCTACAGCAAACACTCTCCCTCCACCGTGCTCATTCCACCTCGGAACCCGAGAGACTGAACCGAATGGGTATATCTGGCCGGATATCATGCTGACAGGACGTGGACCGGCCCTCTCTGCCGGGTCGTTCGCTCACTGAAGAAACCATCAATGATACTCTCAAGAGGGAACCATTTGTCAGGCTGCCATAGCGGGCTCGACTTGTTATTAGTGCGCTCTCTCAGTGGTTCCAATATTATGCCAAAGAATAAGCTCCAATGCTATGGTGTGTGTGTGTAGAAAAGGCAAGACGAATTTTGCGTGTTTTAAGAAGGTCACATTTCTCATCAACAGGTTGTGTGAAGCAGGCCGTGTCAGGCTCCTATAACAATGGTTCCTGGGACGATGAGCCACAAATGTTAACCTGTTATACTCAAAGCTTATCGTAACTTTTTATACAAAACCATTCCTCAAGTCCTTTGCAACGTTTGCCAAACTTCTCCAAACCAAAGATGTTATATTAATATAATGATACTCGATGTCAAAAGCTGTAGACTCATGAGCTAGTCTGCTGGCATGGCGAGGAAGCGGCGCCAAGTGAAACAAGCTTCATACAAGCCCAAGAGTTCACAGTCTGTTTTCTGATATGTGAGGATTCGGCTTCCACTTCCGTATAACGACAGCCCTGTAGTAGTAGTATTAGCAGTAGTAGTAGTAGTAGTTAGTGGTTGTCAGGAAGGGCTGTCGCTCATCCTCTACGCAGACCCAAGTGTCTGTATACCTCACTCGCTCACTCACTCATTCACTGTCCTTCATAAGGCCAGCTAGTCTTAAAAGGTTCTACAGTTACCAAAGTTTAGATACAGGTATCGTATTGTTTTCTCCATTACTTATCGTTGGGAATGGGGGGTGCAAACACACATCTCCCTCTCACTCTGTCTTCCGTCAGCTCTAGGGTAACCGGAAGGGATGAGCTCTTTGCCACTTGCAGTTTGCTTACACTTCCTTTTTTTGTGTAAGGGGAAAGTAAAAATGATTAGGAGTGTGAGTGCCACAAAGCACACATTAACCTGCCGGCCATTAGGGCACCTAAAAGGGTTAGAATATAGCTATGGACAATGTTATTTTTGTCTGTCTGCTCCTCTGTGTGTGTCTTATGTATAATCTTCAGACTGGAATTTGTCATATACTGGTTATATGAATTCTAGTTATCATATCATTGTTTCATTTTTTGGAATGTGATGCTCATTCAGAATCAATCTTCAATCTTTTTGGAAGATATCTCATTTTCCAAGATTGATGAGGGTTGCACTTTACAAGATCGATGATGTCATCTTGTACGATGAAATATGAGCGAACTATAGACTGATGAAGAAGTCAACCTCCAAGATTGATGATTAAGTAATTTTGCAAGATTGAAAATGAAATGATCTTACAAGATGTAGACATCATAGTAGATTGACGATGAAGGCATCTTTCAAGCCGTTTTAATTTCTTTCATCCAAGGAGCACAAAATCTTCCTCCCTTCCATTCTCTCCACCCTAAGATTTAAATTCTTATTAAGTTATGGCTTTAGATTCCATTTCTCGATTCAGTGCAGAGACAAATGCTACTTGCATTTGTCTCATAACACTAAATATACTATACTGTATATATCAATCTGATATACCGATTGATATCACACACACACACACACACACACACACACACACACACACACACACACACACACACACACACACACACACACACACATACACACACACACACACACACACATACACACACACACACGCACACACACACACACACGAGAGACCAATGAGTGATGCTCCAGGTCTGGGTTTTTTCTTCTATATTCTTGCAAATATTGAATTGGTATTCCCAAAGATTACTCGTGTATTCCCCTAACCAGTTGTATGTCTTGTGTAATATGTTTTAACAAAAAATATTTGGTCGCTAGTAATTTATCGGCGTTTTAAGATGTTTCGCTAAATCACTCATTAGTATCATTAGAGACTACTTTTATATACTTGCTATTAGTAACTATCTTAAGAGATGACTATATAGCCCCCTAGTAATTACGGTTCGTGGACCATAATACCGAGACTCGGTAACAGAGTAGAATCGGTTATCTACACTGAGTAGATACCAAAAATTTTTCATTGGAGGGTAAAATCTACCCTCTTTCTAAGTTCTAATTCTAAACCTTTAGAATAGGAAAGTGTGTGACTTAGAGTTCCCAAAGTGGGGTCATCTACCAATAATAATTTTAATCTAATCTTTTAAATATTTGCTTTGAATCAACTTGATATTATGTCATTGTTTATTAAAGCATGCAATTTTTACCTGTTCATTATCTCAGAGTACTGAATTCCACATTAAATCATGTATAAGATTTAAATTTCTTTATTAAAACTTGTATCAAATTCGAAATGAATGATTTTACAACTTATACATCAAATATACAACACAATTACAACTTTGTATCAATGTTGTTGCGTTGTTAAAACATTACAAATAATGTTGTGTGTTGGGATGTTAATTTTAATAGATCATGTTAACTATACATTTTTAATTAAATAATTGGATGATTTATTGCACCGAAAATATTGTTGTTTCTGTACATGAACAATGTTTTAATATTTAGATTTCTTTATTTTATATATTAAGATGACGTAATTTTATTTAAACGGGTGAATAAGGTTGTGACATTTAATAGTATTGAAACAAGAAAAGTGACGTCATTAGGTAGATATAGGAAGATTGCTACATTAACTGTTAATTTAGGCACTGCTGCAAATTCTGTAGAATTAGTCTAAAAGTCTTTTAACATGGGTGGTGCTGTTGTGTACTAGTAGTTATGGTGTATAGGGAGTGATCATTGTCTAGGGGGGAAAGATGTGTATAGTGATCATTGTCTAGGGAGGAAAGATGTGTATAGTGATCATTGTCTAGGGAGGAAAGATGTGTATAGTGATCATTGTCTTGGGGGGGGGGGGAAATAGTGTATAGGGAATAAATGTATACAGGTTGACAGTATTTGAAATCTTGAATACAAATTGCTATTAACTTTTAATCTTATGATAACTTATATTTTTTTATCTTGTAGGTTTGAAACTCTTAATCATTATTATGATAGGATTTAAATTTAATATCTGGGTATATATATATATACATATGTCGTACCTAGTAGCCAGAACTCACTTCTCAGCCTACTATTCAAGGCCCGATTTGCCTAATAAGCCAAGTTTTCCTGAATTAATATATTTACTATAATTTTTTTCTTATGAAATGATAAAGCTACCCTTTTCACTATGTATGAGGTCAATTTTTTTTATTGGAGTTAAAATTAACGTAGATATATGACCGAACCTAACCAACCCTACCTAACCTAACCTAACCTATATATATAGGTAAGGTTAGGTTAGGTAGCCAAAAAAAGCTAGGTTAGGTTAGGTTAGGTAGGTTAGGTAGACGAAAAAACATTAATTCATGAAAACTTGGCTTATTAGGCAAATCGGGCCTTGCATAGTAGGCTGAGAAGTGAGTTCTGGCTACTAGGTACGACATATATATATATATATATGTCGTACCTAATAGCCAGAACGCACTTCTCAGCCTACTATTCAAGGCCCGATTTGCCTAATAAGCCAAGTTTTCATGAATTAATGTTTTTTCGTCTACCTAACCTACCTAACCTAACCTAACCTAGCTTTTTTTGGCTACCTAACCTAACCTTACCTATAAATATAGGTTAGGTTAGGTTAGGTAGGGTTGGTTAGGTTCGGTCATATATCTACGTTAATTTTAACTCCAATAAAAAAAAATTGACCTCATACATAGAGAAAAGGGTTGCTTTATCATTTCATAAGAAAAAAATTATAGTAAATATATTAATTCAGGAAAACTTGGCTTATTAGGCAAATCGGGCCTTGAATAGTAGGCTGAGAAGTGAGTTCTGGCTACTAGGTACGACATATATATATATATATATATATATATATATATATATATATATATATATATATATATATATATATATATATATATATTTCAAACTCCAGGCTTATAAGCATTAAATATGTTTTCCACCCAAGAACATATTGGCCTCTTTGCCTTGCTTAATAATCTGATTGATCCATATGAAACCAGGAATTTTTTTTTTTAGAATGGTGTCAACTAATTATATACATGAATAACTAGTGGGGGGAGAGAATCTGTCGACATTTTGGTCTATCCTGGATCCTGACCAAGTCGGAACTGACAGACTGTTAGGTGCAAAATATAACCAAGCGGGTTGGTGTAACCTGCTGTTGTGTGTGCATGTGTGTGTGTGTGTAGATACGTGTGAGCGATATAATTAAAAAGTAATACAAACGGAGGAAGTAAATTGGTATAACCAAATGATCACGCATATCAAACTGTGTGGCTAATGGTGATTATTATATTTGTATTCTGTTTCAATATTTTCAACATATAATCTAAGTGTTTCTGGAGTTTATGTTAATTTATGATTTGGAGATTGTTATTAACTAGATGTCTGAGTAACATTTTATCAATAGAATCCCTCACCTCTCTGGTCCTGGGTGGAAAAAAAAATGTTAAACAGGATACATATAAACAAACAATTTTGTTGAATTGTTTTCATAAAATATATGACTAAATGTAATTTCTGTACTTTCATAATTTTTCAGTAAGTGTAGATTTTTATGAATATATTTTTCTTACAAACCAGAATGGATTTACACTTACTAAGAGGATTTTGTTGTTATAAATTTCCATCATTGTTCCCTTGATAAATGATAATGTGTTGTAATGATTTTATTTAGACATGCTGCTGTTGATGTGAGAACCATGAGTTCCCCCTTTCCCACTGAAGTAGTATTCTGATCTACTTATGGGTAGTATTTTGATTCTCTGAGTAGTATTCTGATCTACTTTTGAATAGTAATCCAATTCTGGCCGAGGTTGCTGTATACCCACATTTCCTTCGTAAGATATAATCTCGTGACTTAAACACTTATCAAGAAAAGAATTAGACAGAATTTGAACGTTGTTTTTAAGTCAAAAAGCTAGTCAACATCTGGTACTTGATGATCCTGTAGTTGCTTATGTCCTCTCAAGCTGGGTTAATAATCCATTCTTACAGCAGAACCTTTGCCACCAAAGAGTCTAAAGAGTTTAAAAGCATTTGATATATATATATATATATATATATATATATATATATATATATATATATATATATATATATATATATATATATATATATATATATATATAATTCATTTGTTCATTTATATGTTTCCACCCTCTCATGTCCTCCTGACTTTTTGGTACAATAATTTTAAGACACTTTGCAAGAAAATACAATTTATATTTTTACCATTAAAATAAGTATACTACTTAAGAACAATACATAGTAAATAAGTATAAAATATATGCATATTCATATATTATATAATATATATATAATATATATATCTTACACGCATATCTTTACCTTTTGCCTTCTATTTGCTGTGACAATGTATCTTAACATGTTACTGAGAGTAGATTATATTCTAACCTGTTATATCTTATTGATTTTTGCTATTTGACACTATTGAGGAATATTGGATGGTGGACTGTCAGAGTGCGATGGTGTTATGAAGCCTTGTTTATCATGTCTCTAGTAAGAACTCCCTGTAGGGCTGCACAGGAGAGAGAGAGAGAGAACACAACAGGGAATGATGTACTAACGTCTGTTTCTATATCTTAAATGTGAGAGATTTTGCAAGGTGTGCAAATATATATCCTATTCTTATACATCTCGGTATTAGTAAGTTAGGATATTTTTCAGTTTGCACTAGTTCTTGTTTTTAATTTACAGGTTCAAATATATTTATTTTAGGGTTACTGGTACGTTCAAATAGAGAACACATACAAATGAGTTTTATTACATACATAACTAGACATAAAAATGTGTATACATATACAAATAAACACTTGCATGCATGCACATAAATACCCACACATTTAAATACGTACACCCCAGCAATACAAGATAGCGCATTACTGTGAGGGGGGAGTGGGGGTGGGGGTTGTGGGCAAGACTTGCTTGTTTTGTCACGCTAGTGACAAGATACATTGTCACAAGACTAGCAAGATGTCACCAGCGGAGTCCCACAGGACTCTGTGCTCGGACCTATCCTGCTTCTAATACCTGTATATGTAAATGATCTTCCAGAGGGTATAGACACATTCCTCTCAATGTTTGCTGATGATGCTAAAAAAATTTAAGGATTAAAACAGGAAGACAGCCAGAGACTACAAGATGTCCTGGACGAACTGAAGAAATGTTCCAACAAATGGCTACTAGAGTTTAATTCAAAGGAAAAGTAATGAAGCTATGTGGAGGGAGGAGGAGGCCAAACACAAGGTACCAGATGGGAGATAAAATCCTCCATGAAACGGATTGAGAAAAGGATCTAGGGGTTGATATCATTCTGATCTTGTCACGTGAAGTTCACATCATAAAGATATCATCAGTGGTGTGTGCGAGACTGGCGATTATCGGAAATGACCTCAGAAATTTGTGTAAGAAATCATTCAGAACCTTGTATACCACAGGTGTAGGACCAATCCTGGAGT